GACAGAATCCGGCGCCCCGACTGCGATTAGAACCCAGGATGCCAGTGCTGCAGGTAGAGGATTAGCCTAATGAGCCAGGGCGCCGGCCCTGAAGGACTCTCCAAGATGCACAATTTTATCTATGTATCTTATAAAAGGGATGGCTAACATTTTTCTGTAACAGCATAGCCAAAATAAGAGCTTAAATTATGATTCCACAGCTAGATTTACTTTGGCATGGGCACAGTAAACAGGCAAAACCTCCCTTTCAGACCAAAGGGAAAGAAAGCTTTAAAGTGAGGACATAGCTTTTCTCAAGGGCATTGTCTACCTCAGAAAAACCACTATCAGCTCATGCCTGTGACTATGTGACTGTAGACTTCTAGATTAGGCCACCGAAGATTAGAGACAGGGCTTGAGCACCCCCTTGACTTGCATCCTCTGGTCTGCTTTAACAAAAACCAGGAGGAAAAGAAAGCTAGGCATCAGAAGAAATGGAAAGATAGGCGGCAGGCCTATTAAAGCCTGCTCTGTACAGTGATCTCCCTCAGAGACCCAATAGGCCATGCCACTGCAGTGGCTTTAGATATGGAAAGCCTGGGGTTTAAGCAGAATCCAGTTTATGAAGAGCCCTGGCAGCTCTGCCAGCCGAGAGTTGGATCACCAGAAATGGAACTGCCTTGGAGTTGAAGGACTTCAGGTCAGAGCCACAGATCTTACTGGCTCTAAGCTGAAAAGCCCTTCACTCGGCCTAGCTTCCATAGTGACCACTGCTGCTGAGGGGACGGACAAATAGGGTCAGTAACATTGCAGGCACAACTGTAAATTTCCTGTTAGAGATGTCACCTGCCTTTACCTGGCCAGTTCTCCTCCCAGGCCACGTAGGTAATGGAAGTCAACAGGGTGCCTTTCCCAAGGAGATTCACACCTCCCTTAGGATGTACCCCATGTGAAAAGATAGATGAGTCTGGGCTTCATAACTTACAAGGCCTTAAAGCCCACCTGATTATTATCAAGCCCCTTCTGTCAGTTTCTATTTGCCTCTCAATCGGAGAATTTATTCATGGCTTAGACAGCACCTTTCTTAGGTTCTCCAATAATGACTCTATTCTCTGTATCTAGCCCACTTGGGCCTCATTCCTTTGTAATCATAGGCTCTACTCTAACATCAGTGGCTCTACTCCCAACCTATGCGTATTGGTGGTCCTCTTCTCCACTTAATGTTGTACGATTGTTCAGATTGTACGATTGTTCAGAATTTCTCTACAGACAAACTCCTCTAACTGCAAAGGTTGAGTGGCTTTTCTCCCAGTCTTGGCTGGGATAAGCTTTAAGGGGGGAATGTTAGGAAAATGGCGCAGTTTTATCTATGGCACGATCTACATCCTGACACCATCCTAGGCTCTAGCACCCGCCACCATTGCTGGAAGCCAGGTGGCCACATGGCCCAACCACCACTGTCGTCACAAGGGGCTAGAGACACGCCCCCCCATTTCCTCTCCTCTATGAAATCCTCTCATTACCTGGTTAATGCCACTCTTAGAATCATCAGTTGCTATTCTCACACTGTCTTTTATACTACCATGCCTGTTTAAGTGTTTACAGCAAGTGATAATGGAACGAACCAAGGCCTTTAGCAACCAGGCAGTCAATCAAATGCTGTTGCTGCTACAGGGATATACTTGGCTCCCCACCCAGGGGACAGCAGCTTGAGACATCACCCCATGCCAGCAGAGAGTACCTCGTCACCCTATGTCAGCAGGAAGTAGCTCTAAAGACAGATCATCATCCCTCTACCCCTCCTGGACTTCTGGGACTAATGTAATCCCATACAACTCCTGCTTTATAAAAAACAAAAGGGGGGAATATTAGGAAAATGGCACAGTTTTATCTATGGTGCAATCTACACCCTGACACCATCCTAGGCTCTAGCCCCCGCCGCCATTGCTGGAAGCCAGGTGGCCACATGGCCCAACCTCTGTTGTCAAGCTCCACCCACATCCTAAAGGGATTCGATGCTCCTGCTTCCCTGCCCGCCCTCTGGCAAAGCTTTAAAAGGACCAGTTCCTGAATACCTAGCTCTCTCACTGTCTCTGCTCTCTGGCTTCTCTCTCGTTCTCCTCTCTCCTCTCTCTCGGCTCCTCTCTGCTCTCTCTCTTCTCTCCTCTCTGTCTCTCTCTCTTATGCTCTCTTTCTCTTTTTCCTTTTTCTCCCCTTCCCTCTGGTCTGCTGGGTTTTCCCAATAAACCCTTTCCCTTACTCCGGTGTTTGGTGTGTTTTGTGATGGCCTTACATAGGTAGCAGAAAAATTACATTCCTTCAGAAAATGCTTAAGCTTATTTGCTATAAACAAAAGGAAATCAGATATTATATACCTTTAAGGAATAGTCTATACATTCTATTGCTTCAGTTTATATAAGCATATGTTTTCTGTTCAAAGATGCAAAGTAATGTCCATTTTCAGTTTGTATTTGTTCTCCAGAACATCAAGTTTGGAAACTCAAAGCTGTGGATACAGAAAATTCAGCTGTACAAACTGCTAAGGTTGCTCAGTTGAATATTGCTAATGCCAGGGATATAAACCAAGTGTTTCTGTTACAGCAAAACAGGCTTACTAAGTGCCACGTTCCTGATAGCTGTTCCACAGTTATTGATCAGTCAAAGACCATCACTCATAGTTCACACAAGGATAAGTATTTTTACTCCTATTGATGTAGGCAGGCATACATGTTGAAATTGATTAGGTTTGTGAGCTGGAAGACCACACCCTGTATGACCTCATGCCCCTACCTGGCCACACCTGTATACCCACTGGACAATCAGGTTAATTAACCACTCCCATTGAAAGTGGATTAATAGCCAGGGACACAGTGTGCCTGCCCTTCCTTTCTTTGGCCTTTTGCCAGTGTGGGCCTGTGCAGTCCTGCGCCTCCAGAGTGCATGGCCTTTGGACCACCTACCTCATGCTTCCTGGCCTAGATGCTCCTCCACGTGTCTGGTTCCTGCTACTCGGTATGAATCCAGATTTTCCCTTCTCCTTAGATTGGACTAATGCTCTCACTCTCCTATCCATCTTTCTCACTGAATGAAAGCTTAAAAATGTACCATGCTGCCTCGTTCATTTATGCCAGTATTCAGAAATCTTCTCTGAATATTAGCCAAGAGCCCACACAGGCTTATTAATATTGGGAATTTATTAATAAGCATACAGTGATATCATATGGTGCCCCAAGTTCTGATTTCAAGTGGTACTCAGGTGGGACTTTGGGCGAACTTTAAGAGGGCTACATTCCAATGTCATATTTTAGGGGGCCAATCCCGATATCATCATGATCCAACTTTTCTCTTTGAGGTCATTTGTTTTTTAAAAATGCTAATTGTTTGGGGTTTAATCATATTAATCAATAGTCAGAGTAATCAATAAAATTCCTGCCTTTTGAATAGATTATGTTAAGATGTCATTCTGTGTTATGCTGTTATATTTTTCCCTGCTATTCCTTTGTACCAGGAATTTTTTCAATGAAGTCTAAAGTTTTCACATGATTTAGAATTTTTTTACCCTATTATTTAAGTTGAAACAAATTTAGAAAAGCTATGTAAGCAGAAATAACTTACTTTTAAACATACTCTCCTAAAAATTTACTGGCTCTGGAAATAGCTTTTGGGGACATGCATCAAATGCATTTATTGCAAGCTGCTAGTTAATTGGGACAGAAGGTTAAATAATCAGAATTTCCCATGAAAATACTGACAGAATTATCTTCATGGAAATTTATATCATATCCATCATATATTCCTTTGTTATTAGTCTGAGCATTTAATAACAATTTTCAGAGATATGTAGGGTGACCAACCCACTGGTTCCCTATGCCACCCCAGTTCTTGGTTTTCAGCAAGATTTGTCTATGATTTAGGATTTTCAGAACTCAGTTTTCCCATTATGGAATAAAAAGACAATGTCATAAATAAATTATATAACAACAACATTTGAATATTCAGTATTTTCAAATTAATGAAACAATTATTTTTCCTTTACAAGAAGAAAGAAAATGCTTTTACAAACAGACCACCAAAAACTAATGGAATCATAAATATATACATACAACGTTTACTGAAAGTGCTTCTTTAGTGAAGAGAATAGAAATAGTATAGCAAAATAGTAGAGAACTGTGCAGCATATATTCAAAACCTTCACCTAATACCCTTTTCCCATTTCTTCTGTGGTCACGGAGACAAAAGCAATCTGAACATAGAAAGATAGCATGGAGATTTCATTCCCAGCTTATCCTGCAGCTGGGTGTGGCCATATGAAACAAACGTCCAAGTAGAAGTATCAAAACAGAAATATAAGAGGTTCTAGAAGTAAGATACGGCACATATCCCCCTCACCACTTGCTTAGCTCTGCTGCCTGGAATGTGGACAGCACACTGCATCAGGAAAATGAGGACCGCACTAGAAAACTTCTGTGACCTCACTTCCCCTGGCTTCAGGCTGGCTCCCTACACATTCTGGGAAACCTTGGGAATGTCGCATCTCTCCCTCACAGTTTCTTCATTTGTAATATGGGAATAATACTATATCAGAGGATTTTGAGAACTATTAAGAGCCAACAGGGGTGGTTGTTTGGAATAGCAGTTAAGATGCCACTTGGATATCTGAGTGCTTGGATTTGAGTCCCAGTTCTGCTTACAATCCCAGCTTCCTACTACTGCACTTCCCGGGAGGCAGCAGGTGATGATGCAGGTACTTGGGTTCCTGCCACACACTTGGGAATCTTCAACTGAGTTTCTAGCTTCTAGCTTCAGCCATGCCCACTCACAGCTGTTGTGGGCATTTGGTTAGTGAACCAGAGGATGGAAGAGCTCCCAGATATTCTCTCTCTCTCTCCCTCCCTCTCTCCCAGGCTAAAAAGATAAATAAAATTGTTTAAATAAAAGAATCAACAAATTTTGAAGCACATGGAATACTGTTTGGCAGAGTGAAAATTCAAAATTACCACCCATTTAACTCCTGTCCATTACAAAGAATAAACTTCTATATTGTTAAAGCCATTATCATTTCATTTTTTCTATTAGTTACAGTCAGACTTACTTTTAAGTAAAACAGCAAGCCGATATCCACTGCAGGTATAATAAAATGCAAGTTTTCATTAACGTGTCCATGGAAAACTACTGGAAGATAAAGAAAATTAGCATATTTAGTATTTATAAACTTGTGCTGCTAGGCAGATAAACAACTTTGTTACGCTGCTGTTCACTTCTCCATGAATCCAAAGTTACAGCTGACCTATCTCTAAGTCACCCTCCTGTTTTACATATATCATGCATATACCTATGTATATATACATACAATGTACTTCAAATAATTTTTGAAAAATTAAAATAAAAAGTAAGCTTATTTTGCTGTAAAATTTTTTGAAATCCATGCATTTTTAGGGTCTTCAAATAGTTCATGGAAAATGTATGCTATTAAAAAAAAAAAAGCTCCATAGGGCCAATGCTATGGCATAGCGGGTAAAGCTGCCACTTGCAGTGGCGGCATCCCATATGGGTGCCGGTTCGAGAACTGGCTGCTCCACTTCCGACCCAGCTCTCTGCTGTGGCTTGGGAAAGCAGCAGAAGATGGCTCAAGTCCTTGGGCCCCTGCATCCATGTGGGGAGACCTGGAGGAAGCTCCTGGCTCCTGACTTCTGATTGGCACAGCTTCAGCCATTGTGGCGAATCGGGGAGTGAACCAGCAGATGAAATTGTGTAACTCTGACTTTCAAATAAATAAATAAATCTTAAAAAAAAAACTCTGCATGAATTCCAAACCTTTTTATACCAACAATAATCTTATCTTTTAATTCTTTTTTTTCTACAAACTCTTTAAAGCACTACCCAACACACACATACACATATATGTATGATTAGGTTGTTGATGCTGTTAAGCAAAAAAATTTCTATAGTTTTGACATTTACAGTTTGAAAAAGAGAGAAATGAACAAAAATCCTAGACTGTCATGAAAATTTGGTCAAAGGTGCTGTTTCTTTTCATGAAAATATTTTGGTTCTAGTCCTTCCAGATACAGAGATCATATTTAAAAGTAAATTCAATGGAAGTTAATTGACTTGTTTGATTGATTTGTGCTATGTATATGTATTGAAATACCACACTATATCCCATAAAAAGTACAAGTATTACATGTTAGTCGAAAATTTTCAAAGTAAATAATCTAAAAAATTTATTTTAAAATGTAAGTCTTTAATTGGAAGATTACTAACATACTTGTTTTAAATTCTGGTAAATATCAAAAATAAAAATGGGCATTTATGATATTTTACCTGAATTATTTATTGGCTCCATGAACATTTTCCAGACGGTGAACTCTTGCAGGAATTGGTAGGGCTTCTCTTTTTATCTCCTATACGTGCTTTGGCACCAGACATGTAGCTAGTATACAGAAATTAGCTTTCAGAAGAATGAGTTAATAAATGATTTTCCTTAGACTATAAGGACTCTCAGACAAGCAAAGATTTGCCTACCAACCTACCTGTAGCTTCTAGAGGTAGAACCAAGTCCAAGTTTAGGTCTCCTGCCGTCCAATGTCATGCAATCAGCTCAATCCCACCATATGGCTCAAATCTTAGGAATGAGGGCTTTTATTTTTATCTCTTACTTTTTGTAAGTGGTGCTGAATGATGAAAACAAGAGGGACACGATATGATTCAAACTGCTGGTGATGAAAATAAATTAGCAGGAGGTGTCCTGAAGGTCTGGGAACTAATACCATCCACGGCAGCAGGCACATGTTTTTCCTGGCACACTTTGAGTCTTCACACAGAAGTTGGTATTTCATTACTTTAAGTATTTGTATTAGGGTGTTTTGTATATGTCAGTGGGATGGACGGAGAGGGAAAGATTAAAAAGAAATTTCTTGTTATAACATATTTTGAAAAGTTCTATATTTTACAGCATGGTTTATTTTTGGTTCACTTTCTCAGCATGCAGTCTTGACAATTTGGAGATAGAAAAATCTCTTACAGACAAGACTCCTTTGATGAAAATTCTTTTGTACATAGACTATCTAACTCGGGCTGCCCAACCTAAGTTTGAATCCTGGCTTCATTTCTTCATAACTGTGTGACTTTAGCTAGTGAAATAACATTCATGGTTCATTTATCTCTTTGGAAAATGTACTGTTGAAATTTAAATATATATGGATAGTACTTCATCAGGATGTCAAAACACTCAAAATTTTAAACAAAGTAGTATATGGGAAGCATCTAGAACACAGCCTGACAAATTTTGGATATTCTATTTGTTGACTATTTCTCTGAAATAAGTTCCCTCAAAACATAGTATCTTAAAACAATAGAAATCTCAAAAAGTTCATCTCATACAAATAGAATACAATGGTATGGTTGGGGAAAAGGGTATTGGGGAGATATTGATCAAAGCATATACAATTTAAGTTTGATAGCAGGAATGCATTCGGGAGATCTCTCATACAACCTCTTATAGTTAATATGTTTCTTATTAAAATGTCAACAAAAATGATGTAAAATCTCACCATAAAATTGACAACTATGTGAAATAATGCATGTTAGTTAACCAGATTTTGTCATTCAATGGTGTATATAATTCAAAATATCATCTTGTATTTCCTAAATACACACAATTTCTGTCAATTTAAAATAAAAATAACTAAGCAACTAAAATTCTTTTGGAAAAGCAAAAATTATCATTTAGCATATATTGCACAATTTAGAATTATAGTGCACAAATCTGTCGGATGGCAGTGTTCTGGGTCCAAGTTCAGTGGGTGAGTCTGTGGATCGTGGCTGGACTAATACTTGTGTCTTCTGAAGGTTGGATGGGGGCCTTCCAGGACAATTACAGTGAGGCAGCTCTGCTCATATGTCCTTCATCCCTCATCCTCCTCCCTGTTCAAGCCAGCTAGACATTTATGCTCTTCTCAAGGAAATTTTAAAAGCACAACGACAAGCAAATTTCATCTGCAAGCAATATTTACCATGTTGCTTGCTTCACTTTTACAAATATCTACTTGACTAAAGTCTTATACCAACTCTAAGGGCAGAAAAGTAGCCCCCCCCATTCACTTCCCTCCATATGAATGCCAAGTTAAATAGAGAATGGATGGGTATAGGGAGAGGTGACATCCTGGGACTAGTAATACAATCTATTGTAAGCACTCAGTTGTAAAATGTAATTAGCTCTATCATTTACTCCCAAATATTTCCACACAAGACATCTTATGTCCTCCCAAACTAGTGAATGACTGACAGCACTTGTTCAAACTTTTTAATACAAGTATACTGAGGCTTGGTAGTGGGCAGCAATGTTTCTGTATATGCAATTTCTAATGTTTGGATCAGCTACACTATTCCTGACCTATCACAAATGGGCAACTCCACAAAATATCTCCCATGATCTCAATTTCAAGTTCCTTTCAACTAATTCTAAATATAATGGATAATACTATTTTCAGTTGATCTAGTAAATTTTACACAATATTATTTATATTGAGTAGTTTCTGTTTATTTATCTTCAGGAGCCTAGCTATTGAATTTTTCATTCCTGTTTGTACTTTTCAGCTGTAGAGTTTTCATTCATTTCTTTATAAAGTCTTTCCTTCTTTGCCTTGATTTCCTCATTCATTAAGGCCATTCTTTCCTTTAATTCTTTGAGTATAATTCTCCTTGGTTTCCTTAATGTACTCATAATATATATTTTGAAGTCTTCAATAAATATAATGTATGGTCATGTTTAGTATCAATTTCTATTGGCTTTTTCCTGAATATAGTTCACACTTTTCTGTTTCTATGGGTGTCTTGTTTTTCATTTGTTTTGTTTTCACTGGATAATGTGGATACTATTACATAAGCTACCTTGTGTTCTGTCACATTGTTCTTAGGATTAGTAACTTTTTTTTTTCTAGTAAGCAGTCAACTTGTTTGAACCTAAGCTGCAATCTCATCTTGTCCATGTAAGTGGTAACTGAAATTTCCATGCACTCCTTATAACTTCAAGCTGTTTTATTTTAGTGTATCCCCCTGTAAGTCTCCCCGTTATGTTATGGATTTGTCAGATCAAATGATTTGTCATCAGCAAAGATTTCATGAGTGCTTCTACTCATGTTTTTGAGTTTTCTCTCTCTCTCTCTCTCTCTCTCTCTGAATTCCCTTGATTCTGGAAATGTATCTATTAATTTTAGCTTCATTGATTGTTTAGATCTCTGTCCTATGATGTGTCAAGCCAAAAAGCACTCATAGTTTTAATAGTTAGCATACTCTTGGATTTTATCCATTATAGCTCCATCTTTAAAGAATATATTCTTCTTTGTCTTTGATTGCATTTCATTGAATCTCCTAGGTCTCCTACTGGTATGACCCATCAGTCAGAGAACTGCACAAAGAATATAGATAAATTTTAGGCCCAGTTTCCTTCCAGAATTAAATTCTCTTTTTGACATCTAGAGATAGTAAGGCTTTGATGATTTTTCTGCTGCCACATGAGGGTGTCATACGGCAACAGAGTCACAAACTCGCCTCGATTATAAGGGGAGAGAGAGAGTGAACTCCCATCCACTGGTTCACTCCCAAACTTGCCAGGGCTGGACAACACAATATTCAGAGGTCACCAAGCCAAACCCATGGGTCAGGAATTCAATCTAGGTCTCCAACATTGGTGGCATGGACCCAACTACTTGCTGCCTCCCAGTGTGCACATTAGCAGGAAGCTAGAATCAGAAATGGATCTTGGTCTAGAACCCAGGCACTTTGACATTGGATGTGGCATCCTAAGCAGCATCTTACAATGTCAAATGTAAAATTCATGATTGAGATTGTAAGGAATAAACTTTCTACTAGTTTCTTTATATTTCTGAATACAGCCAAGCACTTTTAATTGTTTGGTATGCTGTGTCTAGACTTTATATAAGTCATCTGCAGGAGGGGCTCCTATGAGTACTTCAGCCCACTGAATACTAGCATAATCTGCCTTAGAAAAGGACAAACGTGACAATGCTGACTAGTTCCATAGAGTGTTTTAAAGAAGATAAAATAGAGCTTGAGAAGAATAGCAGGAACTCATATGCCCAAGCTATCAGTCAATCATGAGGTTAATCAATAAAAATCAGGTACATTTGAAAAGAAAAGATATCTGGTGTTAAAAATCAGGATTTTCAAAAGGGAGAGAACGATCCATCATGGGAAGCGGGATACACAGCAGACTCATAGAATGGCAGATGTCCTAAATAGCACTCTGGCCTCAGAATCAGCCCTTAAGGCATTCAGATATGGCTGAAGAGCAGACGAGAGTATTTTAAGCATGGAAAGCCAAGACACTCTGGCAAAAAAAAAAAAAAAAAAAAAAAAAAAAAAAAAAAAAAAAACACAAAACCTAAATGAAAGATCTCTGCGAGTGAGATCCCAGTGGGAAGAATAGGCCATCAAAGAAGGAGGTACCTTTCTCTGAAGGGAGGAGAGAACTTCCACTTTGACTATGACCCTGTTGAAATAAGATCAAAGTTGGCGAACTCAAAAAGCTTCCATAGCCTTGGCAACTCATGACTAGAGCCTAGGGAGATTACTTATGCCATAAACAAGTGTCAAATTGTTAAGTCAGCAACAGGAGTCACTGTGTACTTACTTCTCATGTGGGATCTGTCCTTAATGTGTTGTCCAATGTGAAATAATGCTATAGCTAGTACTGAAACAGTATTTTACACTTTGTGTTTCTGTGTGGGTGCAAACTGATGAAATCCTTACTTAATATATACTAAATTAATCTTCTGTATATAAAGGTAATTGAAAATGAATCTTGATGTGAATGGAATGGGAGAGGGAGCAGGAGATGGGAGGGGTGCGAGTGGGAGGGAAATTATGGGGGGGGAGAGCCATTGTAATCCATTAACTGTACTTTGGAAATTTATATTTACTAAATAAAAAAAGGAAAAAAATCAGGATTTAATTTGGATCAGATTTCTGAATAAGAGTATTACTGGTCACCAAGAATTCTTTGAAATGTATTATACTATAATATAAGAGAGCCCTGGAATAAGAAATGGCAGGGCTGGTTTCAATAGAACCAGGCATGTTAGACCTGGAACTGTCATTTGGATATCCAGAGGGCTCATGTGATATATTGGCTAAAAGTGTGGATTCTGGGGCCAGACGTCCTAGAGTTGAATTCCATCCTGGCCACTGACTAAAAATTTGGCTTGTTTATACTATTGTAACTCTTTCTGCCTTCATCCACAGAATGGAAATGGTGGTGCAACTAAAAAAATTTGAGAATTAAATTATATTCAAATGCATACAACTTTAAATGGTACATGACCAAATATAACATGTATTAACAACTTTTATTTAAAAACAAGAAAATGCTATGAAGACCTTATGGAATTTCATTAATATTGTAATAGAAGGATTATCAGCATGAGTACCATAAGGTCCTGGATTCAAGTGTTGGCTTTTCCAACCTGCCAGTTATCAGAAGACACATCACATTCTCTCCATGGAGGAAACATCTCTGTCCTCAAAACAGCATTCATAATGTCCTGCCTCTTCTGTATCACAAGGTTGATGTGAAGGTCAAATTAAAGAATCAGTTTGAAAGATCTTTGTAGTCTGCAAAATGCTGGACAAAATACAGCTTTATTGATAAGAAACAGCTTTATAGAGAATTTTCTTTCCCACAAGAATTTACTGTGTGGAGTTGTACTACATTTTCCTCTCAACTGAAGAGTGTATCATAGATGTGGTCTATTATTCAAAACACTTGCTCTGTTTTTTCATGCTAATTCCAAGATACCACACAGCAGTTGCCTGTCTTTCACTACTGGGTTATGTGAATCCTTCAAATAAATAATGTCAGGTCTGATGTTTGAAGCGGGTATCTGAGAACAAGGACAAGTGTAAGCTTACACAAATTTACCCAAGAATGAGGGAGGGTAAAGTTAATTCACAAAAAAATTCAGTGAAAGCATTTTTGTCTTAACAGATGACCACATCCTGGTACAGCAGTGCATTCCTGATATCCAGGCAGTAGAGGGTCCTTTTACAAACATGATGGAGGAATGTCTTTTGAAAGTCTCTGCATAGGGTACATGCAATATAGGCATAAAATTGAATTTTGCCTCAATCATGTGTTCCACGAATTCCCACAGTATTTTAATGTAATGACATATAAGTAGAAAGAATGCCTTACTATTTTTAAAACCAATTCTGGTGGCTATGAAGCCATATTCCAGTGAGTCGATTTCCCTTCACAGGAAATCCAACAAGAACTTTATTTTATACAACCTGAGTTTATACTCTTCCAGAGTGATAGCTCACATTTTTACTTAGGGGAACTCACTGCTGTTGCTGTTATTGTCTGTATGCTTTGGTAACAGATTCAGATACAGGCAACAGTGTCTAACTAGAAATAGCACAATCATTATTCTTTTCGTGGAATTGAAGAATGTATTTCCCATCTGTTTTTTTTTTTTTTTTTTTTGACAGGCAGAGTGGACAGTGAGAGAGAGAGAGACAGAGAGAAAGGTCTTCCATTGCCGT